AATATATTTTTTAGTTTATTCAAACATTAAAAACTGCGTTAAACTATGAAATATAGTAAACACTACCATAACAAATAACTATATTTATATAGTCATAATAACTAAATAATTATAGTTATTTTACCTATTAAATAGTTATATCTACTATAATTTGTTTAACTTTAATATTATAGTAATTATTTTTGTCCGTGTATACAGACGTTATAACTGCATAAACACACAGAGATTATAACTTGTGAGCTCAGCCACACGCTTGAAACTTTTCTAAATGCATTACAACAGCAGCATAGGATCGGATTGGTGGCGCCTAAATTTAATGAACAGACAACCTCGTAATAATAACATAACGGGCCATATGCGGGCACAGCGACAGCTTTTATCCGAACACGAGCAATTGAACAATATTGCCGATAGGAGGACAGAGTGGTGTTTCTGACACGCGATGACATTATAAAAACTATACACAGTATCTATATATAGATCGTATACAATTTAAAACGAGAGTCATGCAGATTTCGGGAGCCAAAGGACCAATCGGACGACCGTCCGTCAAACGAGATTATACACAAGCGATCGACCGCGTGACGTCACATGAAATGAAAAGCTTGGCACCTATATATAGGTATACGAAAAAATAAATGGGTCGTTTCCCCTATATGTGACGAAGTTCGATCACATTTTTTTTTTGGGGGCGCTCTCGCATATATAGTGCATAATATTTTATGGCGGATACATGTTACTCGGCAGTCTTGTTTTTACAGCCGAGTAGACTTAAGCCAGAACAGATTAAACTCGACGGCTATATCATTATTGGACGGCCAAGTCTGACACTGTATAGTTGCAATCAACCCGCACGACTGACGGGCGCCAAAGTCACAGTGTCCATACATGTGTATAATGATGATAATAGTTATACGTAGGTATATACCTCCATAAAATATAAGACATATTTAGGTATATATAATACCACGCGGCTGTCGTTGTCGATTAAATCCGTTCAACTAGGCGTAATGTCACGTTACACAAAATACACGATGACGTATTATTATTGTGTATGAAATAACGTTGTCAAAATATAATAATATAACAAGTTGACATCGCCTAAACATAATCACAGGCGTGGATACAGGACTCGTTAAATCCGTCGTGTGACGCATTATAGTGATTTCGGGCGCCATTTCGGCGAGTATCCTCCACTATAAATTTTGAATTTTGATTTTGACCTGAGGTCTTACACACACAATATGATGATAATTATAATAATAATAATAATAATAATAATATTAATTTATCTACAGGAGAATCCGTCTGTCGGGTCCCGCATATACGGCGCCACCGGAATCCTATTCGGTAGATATATACTATATAATATATATATATAAAGAAATGTATTATACACACATATATTATGGATATAATGTTTTCTACTAAAGCACTTTCCAAAATAATATATATTTTAGATATTATATAGCATTAAATTTGACTATGACCGAAAAAAAATGAATAAACATAAAATACGGCTCTGTTTCGACCGAAAAAAACAATCCACCTGTGGCTGATTGGATATAGCACTTGGTATTTTTTTTAACGTAATTTAAACTACTCTCTAAAGTTTCCCGATATCTCTATACACAATGTCTCAAAGTTTTGGAAACATCAGTCAAGTAGATTTTGATTCTATAAGCTACAGCCATAAGGACATTGCCTAATTTTTTTATTTTATATGTGATTAACAATAACAATACATTAAATATTATTATCTTTTATTAAAAAAAACCCCATTGCAATGCATGGGAAACGTGGGTCAACTAGTTCAAACCATTTTATTTTAAAAAAATATTCGATTTTTCGTAAGTCAAAATGAAATTCATGAATGATATTATATCATGTAGTTTAAAATAACCACCGAGTCTAAAGTCATCCATTGATATAGTTATAAAAAATATACTAAAATCGATTCAGAAGTGTCTGAGATTAGCCATAAGTACAAAACTCATTTAACATATTTTATATGAAATACAGATACAGACACACAGCATAATATAAAGTAATAATTTATAATATCTTGGTCTCAGAACCGATGGTATAGTTACTAGTATACTGTATTAGTGTAATATATAGGCTCGCTAGAAAATCAATATGTTCAAGGAGTGTTTAACAACTTTAATTTAGGTATATTATGTATTTTATTTCCTGAGATACTCGTATTTTGACTGTCTTTTCTCATCTTAGTATCTACCTATATACGTCAACGTCCGATGAATACCTGATGAAAGCATGGCAAATAGCCAATAGGTATAATATAGTTTAAAAAATAATTACATTGCCGACCAAAAAGCAAAGTTGCTTATCTATAGCTATTTTACTATATTCTTTTGTACTTTTTTTCCTTTATACTTTTGTCTAACATTATTGTTTTGTTCTCTTAGACAGTTAGACTTAAGTAAAATTAGAGTTACTTAAAATGGATGAACTAAACTTAAATTATTGTTCCTTATAAGTTATTGTTAGAGGAAATTAAAAAAAAAAGTTGAGCGTAAATCCACAATAAATTTGTATGAGCATGTGAAGCAAAATTCTCACTTTAGATGTCAATATCTCTTCAAAACCATGAACATTTACAAATTACGATAAAACTTCCGTTAACGGTCCTCTGTAGGACGGTCTCCTCTATGTAACAATCAATTTTTTTGGTCCCGTCGAGTGTTATCCTAGTGTGGTCCTAATTCTGAAGGACGGTCACCTCTAAATAGAGGTCATTATTTACAGTCCCTTCGGTGACTGTTATATGGAAGTTCTTCTGTATTTTGAGATAGAAATTTATAAAAATGTTCTATGTATGTCTAAGATTTGAAAATTTAATAAAAGGTTGCCATAAGTTTTCCTACATATAACAAAAAAAAGTTTACGGAAAGTAAAATAATTTTTTTATGAGCTTTTGGAGTTCGACATTGGATATTTAGTACTTACCCGTAATTAACAAATTCTCAATTCTCGTAGAATGATTTTCTTATTTTGTTGTAATTCTATTAACCGTATAGGTACTTAAAATTTTCACCAAATGTTTACTTTATCATATTTTTCTATACATTCTTAAATTTAAAAAATAATGACTCGTTTTGACATTTTGAGCTATTTATAGACATTTTTAATTTTCAATTTTTTAATTTTTTTTTTTATAAATGTCAATTAAGTTTTATCTGTAAGGTCAAAATGATTGTACATTTAATAGAAGGTTGCTTATAGGTTGTTATAATAACAGTTAAGAAATTTCAAAGACCCATCTGAACGATTTTTTTATATACCTACGTATTTAAAGTACAAAGTTAACAAAATTTATCAAAACCTTGAACATTTTCAAATTATTTTGTAGTTTAAATTAATAAAATGTTCAAGTTTTATAGTTAAAAATTGAAAATGAAAACAAAAATTCTCGTAAACAGTATTCTGTAACCAACAAATCTAAAATATATAAAAACACAGTTATCTTTTACATACATTCTAAGTTCAAATTTGGAAGAAAATACCTATTAATAACGGTTTTAGTTATTTTGTCATACATATGTATATACAAATATTTTTCGTGGCCCTTGGGTACCTATATGAAATTTTTATAGTATATTATAATATTTTATTCAAACAATGACATTTTAAAATTCATTTTTTTTCGGTAAAAATCAATTTACCAACTGTAGTACCAATGCCTAATAGTAAAATAACTTTTATTAAGAACTTTTATCACATTAATATCTTATATTTAGTAGTATTAAAGGCTTCGCTTAGAATCGTTTTTCGTATACAATGATTTTATATAATTGAATTCAAATTGAACACATCCATTACTGTGACTCCTCTAGACACCTAATGTACAGCATAGCGTTACCAACTTATTTGCTCACTTTTTTTTTACTTTTGGCCCTCCAATGTAGAATAATTTTCCTACCAGCAAAGATATTGGGGACTTAAATTCAAAAATGTTTACTGCTTTAAAAGATGATGAGTGACACAATAAAATAAAAATATCATTGTAAAATCAATACATGCATCGCTCTGCTCAGAAACTAAATATGTAGATACAAAACTAATGTAGATACTAAATTAATGACAATGCAATGGCCAATGGCTATTAGTGATATATTATATTATTATAGTTACCTATGTGTTTAGTTTATTATTACCATATATGTTTAAGAGAGTAGGTATAATGTATTTCAATATTTTATTCAATAGTTACATTTGTACTTTACCTGAATTACAAAAATAAAATAGGTAATATAGGTACCGTCCATCCGTTTTAATGACAAAAAATAGTACAGGAGTCCCACCCTCCAGCACTGTACCTCCCGCAAACTCAAAAATGAAATATAACTGATGATGGTCTTCATGATGGGGGTAAATTATAAGTATTTATTCTTTATATTTTGCTTACAGAAATAATATATACATAGAATTATACTTAAGAGGACGCTACTACACCCCTATGGCTTCGCCTTACAAGTGCATAATATATTAATAAACATAAAGAAAATGTGTGCTCTGCGGAATCCGTTTTTTGTTGTTAATTGTATTATTGTCAAATAATTCATCTATCATCAAATTTTAAAGTCAGAATATTATATAAATCTTTTATTAAGATCTATTAATATTAAAATTCTAATTCTGATATTAAAATATCTCAGTTACCTATATTATGCCCATGCACTGAGACTTTTTGACTCCCTGAAAAAAATTGGAGATACTATTTATCAACAATAAAGAGTTTTTTTTTTATTACTATTATCATATTCATAGTTTTTCTTAGTGTACATAAAAAAAAATAAATAAGATAATATATCTCGACTACCGATATTTTTCAAGGGAAATAGTCAATTATTCAGTGAGATGTTCAGATTTATTTTGCACCACCGGGGTTGTTTACTGCCAAAAGCATATTACACATAGATGTGTAGAAAATTGAGTTTCGGGGGAGGGGGGAGAAGTAGGTAATAATAATAATAATCATGATCAAAAAGCCCGTTCCTGCAGAACGTTCGGCGTATGTACCACCTACCACCGAGGTCGTGGTGAGTGGTTACCTACGCACATCGCGAAGGATGGACGCAGATGTGTTGGTGTGTAAGTGCGTATTCGTGTGTGTTGCTTCGAATGCGTACAATACGCGTGTGCGTTGTGCGTTTGTCGCGTGCGCACAAGACGTCTACGAGACCAGCGATGACAACAACCATACCGACCACGAGCGAAGAGGACCACTCTGCCAAACGCATCGGGCTCGATCGCGCGTGATTTATATCATATCTGCGGCCTTGTCTCTGCAACTTGTGACTTGTGCACTTAACTCTTTTCGTCGTTCGGATTTTTTTACCGTCACTCTCTCGGACCCACCTTGGGGTCTTCTTTTTCCTATCCAGTTTCGTTTTCGAATCTTCAAAATTCCGCCCGTAACATACATCACGCCGCCGACGGATTCGACGTTAGCGGACGTTGTCAACGGCGGCGGAGGACTACCGTTTTCCACAACTTATCTGTTCATGGTGGGCATTCTGATCGTGTACATGTTTTTAATGTTACGGAAGGATAACCGTCGCCGCCACCCATACTACATCAGCGACGACTTCAGCGACGACAGCGAGAGCTAACCACTCCAAAACTTCTACACCCAGTCTTCCAAAAATAAGCACTGCCGTTGCGTTATCCAAGAAGACACTTGGTACTCTGAGACGGAACCTACTGCTCGAGCACCAACGGGTGGTTCTACTGAAACCGGTCGTTACTCCATTAAAAACGACAGTGGTATAATAACAATATAACTTATTATTAACTATATATAAGATACCTATAATCATGATATTAATGCTAATTATAATCATAATAAATAGGCATCGTCGCATTGATAACGTCATGGATCGAAAATAAAAAAAAATATTTAAAAAAAATTTTACTTTTCTCCCTCATCCCCCCCCCCCCCCACACACAACCAACCAACCCCAACCCCCGACTCCCGCCGCACAACCGTTGTAACGCGCCAGCTGGGTTGCCGTCGTTTCACAGTTCCCATAACCTATATTCAGACGATTCTACAGGTGGTATCGTTAGTCGAGCAGCCAGCCGACGACGACCTTGCAGGGTTGTTTTCGTAACGTTTGCCAACCACTGCGTCCGATTTTGCGATATAATAACGTTTGACGATCATTGGTGATAATCGATTCGATGTCGTGCGTGACAACCGACGGACTTCATAATAATAATATGCGCACCGCATGTAAATGCCATTAAAAACAATATTGTGCACACGATGGTTTTGCCGTTGTAATAGCCGACCGTAAATCACGTTTTTTTTATACGGCCGCGGTAATATAAAACTTTGTACCTAATGACATTGTACTTACTATTTGCATCGCCGCACGTTTAAGCGCCGTGATCGACGGCCACAATACAGCGACGCGAGCAACCGATCGATCGTTGTAATCGCCGTAACGCGTCATTGCGAACCGGACGAGCGCCCGCAACCGGTCGTCTTTTGCCGCCGCGTTTTTTATATTTTACGCGATATTCGCCGTGCGTGTACTTACAACAACTTTGGCCATGGCGTCCCGGATACAGCCCAAGCAGGCGAGCGCGGCCACCACGGGCGTCTCCTGTCTGGTCGGCGCCGTTGCCTGGATCCTGATCAGCTCCATTTACATAGGCAACACCGAGGGATGGCCCCAATTTGTTCTTAGCGCATTCGCAGCAGCCTCTGTGTGCGCGGTGGCTGCCTCGGCACTGGTGTATGCGGCCTACCAGCAGTACGTGGTCAAGAAGAATCTGTTCGATGACCACTGCAGTACCGACGAATTCGATTACCGGTCGACAGGCCAATGGGCTGGTGAGTATATGCGACACGATGTTGTTACTAATTGTTGTTATTGTTATTACCGTCATAATCCCTTTCATCATGACTCGACCTTTAATTTTAGATTTATAAATATATATTTCCCCAAATTAATCACTTCGCCCCCTCCTCCCAGGTTTGACGGCGTCTTCTAAAAATGTTATCTTAGTACAACCAAAACGTATACATCTCAAAATTCGCTTAACCTCCTAACTCACCAAATTTGTCATTATTTTTTAATTATTTATATAATATACGATTTATTTTGTTTGATTTAATTTACTGAACTCAAGACCACAAAGGTTGTATAACTGTTATTTATTTAGGATGTTTGCGCGATGTGGGTGGCACAAATTATATTTACTATATTGATTTTAACGCATAAGAAATAATAATATATTGCATGTGTATATACGTGCCAAAACTACGTAACATAACAGATTTTCACGAACCTCGATAACCGGTGATCGGGTATATTGCTGAACCAACTGATTCCGTAGAATTTCATCAGTGCAAACATCAGCTGTCTTTGGCAGGTGTTTATTATAATATTTAATTCAGTGCGCAATTTCTTTTTTCGAACAATTATTGTAAACGCATTAATCATAATGATTACAATAATATTATTGTTGCGGTTGATTTTCACACATTCGATAATAACAATAAATGTTGTTGTTAGAATTTCAAGCAATATTTACACTGTTGATTTATTTATTTTTTACTATACTGTACAGGCCGATGCGCCCAACAAAACATAAGTAAATACATAAACATTTAAAAAGAATATAGTCAGCTTGCACGTCATAAAAAAATAATATTCATTGTATCATTCACTTGCGTAATCGGTACGAATTTCGTTTAATCGATATTATTCAGCTGGTTCACGGTGGATTAATTATATGGAAAAAAATCCCCACCAACGTACTTAACCTTACGAATAAGTGGTTATCGCAAGTAGAGTCGATTGTGCATTATTGTATAGGTATTACTATTAATGATCACAATATTATACACATAGGTAGGTACATCGAATGGTTATGATAACAATATCGGAGTAGTGGTTTTTTGAAAATGAAAATAATAATATTGCTCGTGATTTAAAAATAATTATAATTTGATAATTTTTTATTTAACTAACAAAATGAAGTAATCTCGACCATCAGCAGTCTACCTCTATATAGTACACAATATATAACGTATATATTAAGTGGATATAAGCATGAATAAAGGTCTACTGTAAATAAATGATAAAATTAATTATGATGACCAATTAAGCGATAGGCGATAGCAAACGATTGATGGCGATGTTATACTGTGTTCGGGATGAAAGTGGTGAGGCGGGGTGACTTTGAAATTAAAAATATGAACGATAAAGAATTAGATAAAAAATAAATACGAAATAATATGATTTGATGACCTCGCAGTAGTTCAGACGTTCGTAGCGCGGCTCACCATTTCGGCGGATTTCAATTTTGGCTATAGTCTTTTAAGAAATACCGGGTAACTCACCAAAGTTTAACATGATAAATCTTAATTTTATAAATTATATATATATATGATATTTTAGAACAATACAATATGTAAAATGGCTAATTTTAAGTTTCCAGACATAAGTTTGAACACCTATTATATCCCCGTGGTGTCTATCAGTCCGTTAATTACCATAACATATTGCGATTGATTGTATTAAATGTCATAGATTTATTATAGTTATAGTTGTATTCAAAGAATAGAACAATATCAAAAGTAAATTCATACAAGCCAGTATAACAAAAATATCAAAATATGATTATTTAGTATAAATTATTCGTAGTAGGTAATAGCCAATATTAAAAAAATAGGTAACATTGTACCGACATCTAAAGATTATCAAATAACTAATTACTTTTAGATAGTGTAATATGGGATTATATGTTATTAATATAATTAACTACAATACTCTAGAGGTTTGTGGCAAATCGACGTGTGAGCGCCAGCCGATACGATAGAATTTGTTTGATAACAATCAATAATATATAAAATGTATACAGCTGTATGTCACACGAAATTTGTAGGTCACTTATGATGATGACACGTAAAATTACTAATGCCGGGTTGCATGAACTATCACTAAACAATATATAACTATGACTATTTCTGATCACTAATCAGTAATGAGCTAATATGGTCCCTTAAACACGATTAGGTGGCCCACGATTAGTCCATTATTAAATTGTATTCGACCATTAAATTAATAAATTTTCCATGCGATTTGGCATTAATAGCACTAACTGTCATCAACATCATCAAGTGAAGTGTATATTATTATATTATCATAATAGCATGTATAATATTGCGTACATGCTGGGATTACATGCTCCATGAAATATGTTGAAATTCGGATCCGTCTTGTTGTACATTACATTATAGGTATGTTGTATAGGTAGATTCCAGCCAGGTATACATTATATTATATTATTATACAGGTTACATATGGTATACTCGTACTGCCTACAATACAATGTTATGTTTAGTTACGAAAACACACAAAATACTAAAATTCCTCAGCTCCGTGTCCGGAAATATGGCATGATGGCTTATATGATATTTTACTCTAATCGTTTATACACGAAACACTGAAGAATATAATATAATATTATATTTATATTATATAGGTATATGCACAAAGAATGTTGTATACTTGAGACAAAAGCATGGATTTAAATATAAGTAGGTATATTCTATTTTGTTTAAGGACAAAAATTTGTTATTGTTTTCTCAAATCTCAATATCAATGAAAATGCTTGTTTCACACTTATCAATAACAAATAAAAATTATATTTTTAATTTTATAGTGTTTAAATTTCAAATGTTGGGACTACTTATTAGATACATTTTAAAGTACTTATATACTTATTTCGTTGATTTCGGTATGGGAAGTAGAGAAAATTCTTGAGACAAAAATATCGTATTTTTGTTTATAATATTAATTTACTTTTTCCTTAATATTTTTATTACGATTCTATTGTTTTTATGATGCCGATTGACCTATATTTATATATTATATATTTTCGATAATGTCGATAAAGTTTTCCGTTTGTTTGGAAAAAATATGAAATTACTAAACTCTTATTTTGCATAATTTTAATCGATTTAATAACATTTTTGACATTATCAAAATTTCTTTTTATGTTTATTGCATTAAATACATTTTTCGAATTGTATGTTCAAAATAACTTTGCACGTACAGGATGCCTACTATTTATATGATATATACAAAATACCATATCACGCGGTGTGCGTATCACGCGCGGATGCATTTTCAGTAAAAAAAATCGCATAAGTCACCATGATCGCTGGTGAGCGGGTTCCAGCTATTTTGTGAGAGTAGAATATAATAGCAAATATCGGGAAACTTAGCCCCCTAACCACTATTTAGCCCCTTCCCCACAAAAAAACACTTGAACATTTTTTGAGAGTCTGGTATGGACCTGAGTTTCAGTCCCTACAAACTAAAACACATATACATACAACAATAGACTATGGGAGGTGGGGCTTAACTCAAACCTAGACTTAAATTATTCATTTTTGAAATCATAAAATGATAAATATTTACAAACTATTATAAAACAAATTAACAAATATTTTATAGAAATTATTATTTATTGTTTATTACAACCTAAGTTGTACATAGTTTTCTACATCTGTGTCTGCAAGTTTGTTTAAAATATCTTCGGAATTATGAAAACACATTTAGCAATATTTTTTCGTTAGTGATCATTGATA